TTTTGGGATGCAGGACTCAGAATTTCAGGAAGCAGGATGGGGAATTTCAGGAAGCAGGACTCAGATTTTTGGGAAGCAGGACTTGACAGTTTGGGAAGCAGGACCTAGATTTTTGGGAGGGAGGACTCAGAATTTTGGGAAGCAGGACCTGGAACTTTGGGATTCAGGACTTGGATTTTTGGGATTCAGGACTTGGATTTTTGGGAAGCAGCACTCGGAAGTTTGGGATGCAGTTCTCGGAAATCTGGGATGCAGGACCTGGAACTTTGGGCTGCAGGACTCAGAATTCCGGGAAGCAGCTCTCGGATTTTTGGGAATCAGGCCTGGGATTTTTGGGAATCAGGCCTGGGATTTTTGGGAATCAGGACCTGGAATTCCAGGACTGAGGACTCACATGAGGACGGGTTTGATGGCGTTCTTGATATTCCCGTAGGCGGCTCTTCCCAACAATTCCCGGAGGCAGCGCTCGGCCAGCTCCGTCGGACTCTCCTTCTCCTTCTCCGTGCCTTGGAGAGGGGACGGGGAACGGCTGGAAAAGCAGGAAAAGGAGCTTGGAAACACCGGGAATACGGGATGGAAGGGAAAACGGGGAGAATCCGCCACGGAAAACGGGATTTGTTGGGCTCCATCCCGAAAAAATTTGGGTGGAAAACTCCTGGAGATCCGGGAGGGGCTGTGGGATGAAGATTCCCAGCTCCAAAGGGAGTGGGAAGGGGGTTTTATTCCCGGAGAAGCTGCCCCTGGATCCCTGGGAGTGTCCAAGGAAAGGTTGGAGCAACCTGGGATAGCGGGAGGTGTCCCTGAACATGGAATGGGATGAGCCTGAAAATCCCTTCCCACCCAAACCATTCCAGGATTCCAGGATAAAGGACACTCAGGATACACTCAGAGGGATTTTAATGGAATGTGGGGATGGAAAAGGCGGGAAAGGGGAAGGGAGACCCTTCCCTGAGCCCCGAGATTCCCAGGGAACCCCCTTGTTCCCTGAACTCCTTCCCAGGGAGGAGGAGTTTGTCCAGGATGAGTTTTCCCAGCTCCCTCAGCCATTCCTGCTTTTCCAGCCCCTTCCCAGCTCCCTCAGCCATTCCCAGTTCTCCAGCCCCTTCCCAGCTCCCTCATTCCTGCTTTTCCAGGCCCTTCCCAGTTCCCTCACACATTCCCTGTTCTCCAGCCCCTTCCCAGCTCCCTCAGATATTCCTGCTTTTCCAGCCCATTCCCAGCTCCCTTATTCCTGGATCTCCAGCCCCTTCCCAGCTCCCTCAGCCATTCCCAGTTTTCCAGCCCCTTCCCAGCTCCCTCAGCCATTCCAGGTTCTCCAGCCCCTTCCCAGCTCCCTTATTCCCTGTTCTCCAGCCCCTTCCCAGCTCCCTTATTCCAGGTTTTCCAGCCCCTTCCCAGCTCCCTCATCATTCCTGTTCTCCAGCCCCTTCCCAGCTCCCTTATTCCCTGTTCTCCAGCCCTTTCCCAGCTCCCTCAGCCATTCCAGGTTCTCCAGCCCCTTCCCAGCTCCCTCAGATATTCCTGGTCCTCCAAGCCCTTCCCAGCTCAGCCATTCCCAGATTTCCAGCCCCTTCCCAGCTCCCTTATTCCAGGTTTTCCAGCCCCTTCCCAGCTCAACCATTCCCTGTTCTCCAGCCCCTTCCCAGCTCCCTCAGCCATTCCTGCTTTTCCAGCCCCTTCCCAGCTCCCTTATTCCCAGATTTCCAGCCCCTTCCCAGCTCCCTCAGCCATTCCTGCTTTTCCATCCCCTTCCCACCTCCATCCCCTTCCCGCTGCTCCCCCTCAACCTCCAGGAATCCCAGGATTTCCAACAAAACACGGAAAAAAGGGGGATCCCAGGGGCCGATCCACCTCCGACCTTCCGCGGGGGGGGAAATCCCGGGAGAAATTCCCTTTTCCAGGAATTTTTTCCCACCTTTCCGCCTCTTCCACGTGCTGGAGGTTGAAGAGGAGGGAGGGGACGATCTTATCCATGTGCTGAGGATCCCAAATATTGGCCTGGAGTTCGTCGTTCACCGTCTTCCTCACCACCCCCTGCAGGCCCTTGATCCCGGACATCCGGATCCTGAGGGAAAAACGGGATATCAGGACCACAAATCCGGGATATTCCATCCCCTGAGAGCATCCAAGGCCAGATTCCCTGGATTCCCAAGGGCTGGATTCCCTGGGAGCAAACCCGGGATAGGGGAAGGCCTCGGAATTGGAACAGGATGAGCTTCAAGGCCTTTGATTCCCGCCTAAATATTCCGGGATTTCGCGATCCAAAGGGTCCCTGGGATGCACAAGTGGCACCGGCATTCCCGGAAATCCCTGAGGGATTGGGTTTGGCTCTGGGAATTCTCCATTGTCCAGTTCTTGGGAATGTTTTTCCCCCTTTCCCAGGGAGGAAAAGGCTCCGGAGCCGAGTTTCGCCCACGGAAATCTTGGATGGGAGGGAAAACTAAAGTGCTTTTCCACCCTTCTGTTGGGATAAGATCCCACTGATCCCTCTTTTCTCTGGGATGAGCCCCTTCCCACCTCCCTCAGATATTCCAGGTTCTCCAGCCCCTTCCCAGCTCCCTCAGATATTCCTGCTTTTCCAGCCCCTTCCCAGCTCCCTCAGCCATTCCAGGTTCTCCAGCTCCTTCCCAGTTCCCTTATTCCTGCTGCTCCAGCCCCTTCCCAGCTCCCTTTTTCCCAGTTCTCCAGCCCCTTCCCAGCTCACTTATTCCCAGATTTCCAGCCCCTTCCCAGCTCCCTCAGCCATTCCAAGTTCTCCAGATCCTTCCCAGCTCCCTCAGCCATTCCAGGTTTTCCAGCCCCTTCCCAGCTCCCTTATTCCCTGTTCTCCAGCCCCATCCCAGCTCCCTCAGATATTCCTGCTGCTCCAGCCCCTTCCCAGCTCCCTCAGCCATTCCCAGTTTTCCAACCCCTTCCCAGTTCCCTTATTCCCAGTTCTCCAGCCCCTTCCCAGATCCCTCAGCCATTCCAGGTTCTCCAGCCCCTTCCCAGCTCCCCTATTCCCAGATTTCCAGCCCCTTCCCAGCTCCCTCATTCCAGGTTCTCCAGCCCCTTCCCAGCTTCCTCAGCCATTCCTGCTTTTCCAGCCCCATCCCAGCTCCCTTATTCCCGGTTCTCCAGCCCCATCCCAGCTCCCTTATTCCCAGTTCTCCAGCCCCTTCCCATCTCCCTCATCATTCCCATTTTTCCAACCCCTTCCCATCTCCCTCAGCCATTCCCGCTTTTCCAACCCCTTCCCACCCCCACTCCCACCTCCCCATCCCACCCATGACCTCCCTCCCCAAACTCCACATTCCCAGACCCTTTTCCTCCTCTTCCCAGCTCCAAATCCTGGGAGGCACAGAACACCCCTCCCCTCCAGTCATTCCCAGTTGGAATTGCGGCATTCCCAGTGGGAATTCCGGCCGGGATGAGCTCACTTGGATCGGATGTCGGGATCCTCGTGGCTGGAATGACACATTTCGCTGAACCGGGACACGAAGAAGTCGTAGCTGCGGTGGTAGGACGGGGTGTCCTCCTCGATGTTGGCAAACTTCACAAACTGGGAAGGATGGACACGGAAATCCGTGAAAATCCATGGAAATCCCACCCCCCCCCGAGCCGGGAATATCCCTACGGATCGTGGGAATGTGTGGTTAAGTGGGAATGTCCCATTCCAGAGTCCCAGGGAGATCCAGCACATCCAAACCTGCCTGGGGGGGATCTGGACATCTCCAGCATCCCAGGGATCCCAGGGATCCCAGGAAAGGGAATTTAGGGAAGCAACAAAGAGTCAGTGATCCCAGAGATCCCAGGGAAGGGAATTCTGGGAAGCAGCAAAGAGTCACATGGAGCACACACAGGACAGGGGATTAATTCCCAGCTGGATCCTTCCCGTCCTTCCAGAGGTCACAAAACCATTCCTGGATTCCCCAAGGGTGGAAACAGCCTTGGGAATGGCAGTGGAAAAGCCTCGGGAATGGCAGTGGAAAAGCCTCGGGAATGGCAGTGGGACAGCCTTGGGAATGCAAGTGGAATAACCTTGGGAATGGCAGTGGGAGAGCCTTGGGAATGGCAGGGGAGGAACCAGGGAGAAGAACCAGGGAAGTAACGACCAAAATATCCTGGAAATCCATCCCCAAACCAGGAATATCTCTGGCGCTTCCCTACGGATCGTGGGAATGCGGGGCTGAGTGGGAATGTCCCATTCCAGAGTCCCGGGAGATCCAGCACATCCAAACCTGCCTGGGGGTGAGCCGGACATCTCCGGCATCCCAGGGATCCCAGGGAAGGGAATTTAGGGAAGCAGGAAAGAGTCAGCGATCCCAGAGATCCCAGGGAAAGGAATTTAGGGAAGCAGGAAAGAGTCAGCGATCCCAGAGATCCCAGGGAAGGGAATTTAGGGAAGCAGCAAAGAGTCAGGGATCCCAGGGATCCCAGGGAAGGGAATTTAGGGAAGCAACAAAGAGTCAGTGATCCCAGAGATCCCAGGGAAGGGAATTCTGGGAAGCAGTGAGGTGTCAGCGATCCCGGTGATCCCAGGGAAGGGAATTTAGGGAAGGAGTGAGGTGTCAGGGATCCCAGGGATCCCAGGGAAGGGAATTCTGGGAAGCAGCAAAGAGTCAGGGATCCCAGGGATCCCAGGGAAGGGAATTCTGGGAAGCAACAAAGAGTCAGAGATCCCAGAGATCCCAGGGAAGGGAATTCTGGGAAGCAGCAAAGAGTCAGTGATCCCAGGGAATGGAATTCCGGGAAGCACCGAGTTGTCAGCGATCCCAGAGATCCCAGGGAAGGGAATTCCAGGAAGCAGCAAAGAGTCAGAGATCCCAGAGATCCCAGGGAAGGGAATTCCGGGAAGCAACAAAGAGTCAGGGATTCCAGGGAAGGGAATTCTGGGAAGCAGCAAAGAGTCAGAGATCCCAGAGATCCCAGGGAAGGGAATTTAGGGAAGCAGCAAAGAGTCAGGGATCCCAGAGATCCCAGGGAAGGGAATTTAGGGAAGCAGCAAAGAGTCAGCGATCCCGGTGATTCCAGGGAAGGGAATTCTGGGAAGCAGCAAAGAGTCAGGGATCCCAAAGATCCCAGGGAAGGGAATTTAGGGAAGCAGCAAAGGGTCAGAGATCCCAGTGATCCCAGTGGATCCAGAGGAGGCCATGGAGATGCTCCAAGGGCTCTGGATCCGGGCTGGGAGAGCTGGGAATGGCCAGGCTGGATTTGGGAAGGATCCCGGGAGAGCTTGGAGGCAATTCCAGAGCCTGAAGGGGCTCCAGGAGAGCTGGAGAGGGACTGGGGATCAGGGCCTGGAATGCCAGGACCCAGGGAATGGATCCCACTGGGAAAGGGGAGATTGGGAAGGGATTCCTGGCTGGGAGGGTGGGGAGGGGCTGGGCTGGAATTCCCAGAGAAGCTGTGGCTGCCCCTGGATCCCTGGCAGTGTCCCAGGCCGGGTTGGATTCCCTGGGATAATGGGAGCTGTCCCTGCCCATGGAACAGGATGAGCTTTGAGGTCCCTTCCCACCCAATCCCATCTGGAATTCTGGGATGGCCCCGTGCGTGGCCGCAGGGTTGATCCCAGCAGGTCCTGGTTGCAATTCCTTAAATTTCCTGGCATTTCCCAGCCTGGGAACACCTGGATCAGCTTTCCCAGAGCTGCTCCTCGCTCCGTGTCCTTCCCCAGCTCTGGCTGCCACGTGGAGCTGCCACGAGCTTGGAAAATCCCCCTTGGAGCGTTGCCTCATCCAGAGGTTCCTTATGTAACAGTCCTGTCCTGCTTTTTCCCAGAGAGGGAATCCAGGGCAGCACTTGGAGCTGGGAACATTCCCGGTTCCGTCACCGGCACAGCCGAGGGTATTTATAGCCCAGGACACGGATCACGGGATCAGGGAATGGGTTGGGTGCAAAGGGACCTTAAATCCCATCCCATTCCAACCAGGACACCTTCCCACTCAAACCATTCCAGGGTTCCAGGATAAAGGATCCAGGGAGAGCTTGGAGCTTGGGAATTTTGGGGAATTTTGGGGGAATTTTTCCCTGAATTTTTTTGAATTTTTTTATTTTATTTTATTTTTTTTATATTATTGTGACCTTTCAGGACCTTTTCAGGGAGGGGGAATAAAAGGGGGGTTGGGAATCTTTTTTGAATTTTGGGGGAATTTTTTTCAGCTTTTTTGAATTTTTGGGGAATTTTTTTCAGCTTTTTTGAATTTTTGGGGGATTTTTTTTTTCCAAATTTTTTGGAATTTTTTTTGGGGGGGTGGTTTTTTTTTGGTGACTTCTCACAAAAATTTGGGTGGATTCTGGGTAAATTTGGGTGGATTTGGGGTGAAATTGAGTGGATTCTGGGTAAATTTGGGACTGGGGATAAGGGCTGGAGGGACAGGACCCAGGGAATGGATCCCACTGGGAAAGGGGAGATTGGGAAGGGATTCCTGGCTGGGAGGGTGGGGAGGGGCTGGGCTGGAATTCCCAGAGAAGCTGTGGCTGCCCCTGGATCCCTGGCAGTGTCCAAGGAAAGGTTGGATTCCCTGGGATAGCGGGAGGTGTCCCTGAACATGGAATGGGATGGGATTTAAGAGCCCTTCCCACCCAAACCAGTCTGGAATTCCAGGATAAAGGACACTCAGGATTGATGCAGAGGGATTTGTATAGAAGTCAGGGATGACAAAGGCAGGAAAAGGAAAGGGAGACTCTTCGCTGAGCTCCGAGATTCCCAGGGAACCCCCTTGTTCCCTGAACTCCTTCCCAGGGAGGAGTTGGGCTGGGGATGGATCCAATGTCAGGCTCTGGCTCCAGGCTGGGAGAGCTGGGAATGGCCAGGCTGGATTTGGGAAGGATCCCGGGAGAGCTTGGAGCACATTCCAGAGCCTGAAGGGGCTCCAGGAGAGCTGGAGAGGGACTGGGGATCAGGGCCTGGAATGACAGGACCCAGGGAATGGATCCCACTGGGAAAGGGGAGATTTGGGGGGGAGACTGGGAAGGGATTCCTGACTGGTCTGGAATTCCCAGAGAAGCTGTGGCTGCCCCTGGATCCCTGGCAGTGTCCAAGGCCGGGTTGGATTCCCTGGGATAGCGGGAGGTGTCCCTGAACATGGAATGGGATGAGCCTGAAAATCCCTTCCCACCAAAACCATTCCAGGATTCCGGGATAAAGGACCCTTGGAATCCAGTCAGAGGGATTTTTCTGGAATGTGGGGATGGCAAAGGCAGGAAAGGGGAAGGGAGACCCTGCCCTGAGCCCCGAGATTCCCAGGGAACCCCCTTGTTCCCTGAACTGTTCCCAGGGAGGAGTTGGGCTGGGGATGGATCCGACGTCGGGAAAGGGGCGGGAAAAGCACTCACGGAGTTGGTTCCAAGGATTTGCAGGTTGGGTTTCTCGGATTCCAGGAGTTTGGCCACCATTTTCAGGAAGCTCTCCACGAACAGGTTGATGCTCTGGCAGTGACAGGCCATGAGGAGCTGATCCAGAGCTTCCATGGCGATGCACACGTAGCTGGAAGCGGGAAAAATGCGGGATAAAGTCATGGAGAGGTCGCTCGGGAGGTTCTCTCTGGGCTGGGAAGGCCTGGAATTCCAGGGGGAGTTTTGGGATCCTCGGGATAAGGTATGGAAGGGTTGGAGAGTGGGCAGGGAAGGGGATGGAGCTGGAAAAGCAGGAATGGCCAAAGGAGCTGGGAAGGGGTTGGAAAACTGGGAATGGCTGAGGGACCTGGGAAGGGGCTGGAGAACTTGGAGTGTGTGAGATGGGAAGGGGCTGGAGAACTGGGAATAAGGGAGCTGGGAAGGAGCTGGAGAACCTGGAATGGCTGAGGGAGCTGGGAAGGGGTTGGAAATCCGGGAATAAGGGAGCTGAGAAGGAGCTGGAGCAGTAGGAATATTTGAAGGAGTTGGGAAGGGGCTGGAGAACAGGGAATGCCTGAGAGAGCTGGGAAGGGGTTGGAAATCTGGGAATAAGGGAGCTGGGAAGGGGTTGGAAATCTGGGAATAAGGGAGCTGGGAAGGGGCTGGAGAAGCAGGAATGGTTGAGGGAGCTGGGAAGGGGCTGGAAATCCAGGAATAAGGGAGCTGGGAAGGAGCTGGAGAGCAGGAATATTTGAGGGAGTTGGGAAGGGGCTGGAGAACTGGGAATGCCTGAGGGAGCTGGGAAGGGGTTGGAAAACCTGGAATGGTTGAGGGAGATGGGAAGGGGCTGGAGAACCTGGAATGTGTGAGGGAGCTGGGAAGGGGCTGGAGCAGCAGGAATGGCTGAGGGAGCTTGGGGGCTCATCCTGGGGAAAAGAGGGATCAGGAGGGAAGGAATTCCTGGCTGGGAGGGGCTGGGCTGGTATTCCCAGAGAAGCTGTGGCTGCCCCTGGATCCCTGGGAGTGTCCAAGGAAAGGTTGGATTCCCTGGGATAGCGGGAGGTGTCCCTGCCCATGGAATGGGATGAGCCTGAAAATCCCTTCCCACCCAAACCATTCCCATTCCCATTCCCGTCCCCATTCCCACTCCCCTTCCCATTCCCCTTCCCATTCCCATTCCCACTCCCATTCCATTCCCCTTCCCATTCCATTCCCCTTCCCATTCCCATTCCCACTCCCATCCCCATTCCCATTCCCATTCCCACTCTCATTCCCATCCCCATTCCCACTCCCACTCCCATTCCCGTTCCCCTTCCCACTCCCCTTCCCACTCCC